TATTTGATGTCATTATGATAGGCGGCATTATCCATTACTAGGTGTCGTATGGCAGTTTTGTCACGCACCTTTACTAACGGAATATTTTCACAAATCCCTCAGGTGCTCTGAGACAGGAGTGTTTTGAATGGTGGCTCTCGTTCGTCTAGAGGCCTAACCCTCGGTTCAAACTTTCCATTCAACCTGTCTCAGGGATGAGGTGACACGAGCTCTGACTCCACAGGGTTATTATGAACACTTGGGTACCTCTCGGCCAGACGTCCCCACCACTGTTTGCCCCCAGACTGGAACAATGCAAGTCCAGTCAAACAAATAATCAACAGCGAATTTGACAAGACAACACTGCCTCTGTGAATAAGACAATGAATTTCAATAACACGAAACTTTTCTACTAACTAGAAGACTGATGAACTATAATACTGTTGTAATCAATTCACTATAACAAAGTTGATGAAAAGCATCGTGAAGAATTAAAAAGGAACGATCAAAACTTTGAAAATCTAACACAAGAGAAAGAGTTTTTCTACATAGACATATAGACTTTCTGGATCATCATGGCGGAGGAGAAGATTTGATTACGAAGGCCCATTTGGAGTCGAGCTATCTTATGTCAGTCACTTCAACTTATCTGATTAGATCTCGTAGCTCCTCAGGGTGCCAGAATGGAGTTACACAACACCGTACTTTACTGTACGACTTCACAGGAACGAAGCTGCTTCTCAGGATGCCGGAAAGGAATTTCTCACTGCCGTACTTCACAGCACGACTTTACAGGAATGAAGCAGCTTCTCAAGATGCCGAAATAGAGTTTCACACTGCCGTGTTTCACAACACGACTTCACAGGAACGAATCAGCTTCTGGCGTTGATCAAGGACAATCAACTCGATATCGGAAGACGTCGATAAAGTATCGTCCACACATTCAGCACAGCAATTCACCACACGTAAATTACTTATTGGGTGGTGGCAGTTGGAACCACACTACCATACACGGACACTTGTTGGATCTTCAGAAATCCTGAAAAATGCAAAGCAACAGCCATGAGCGAACCGTACTCAACGCACCTATTTAATCAAGGTCCTTACTTCCTCCCAATGCTCAGATATACTTAAGGTTATTCCAAACCATGAAGGTTGGTTACCTCTATCTTAGAATCCCTTTAGTTTCCTAGTGTGAGCACTAGATCATTAACTCGAATAGTTCCTGGATTCAGTTCTGTAGCAAAGGTTAGACAGATCTCCATTATTTACCCTTCCTTCTAACGTACCCTTTCCACTAATAGGGAAAATAAGGGATAGGCGATGAAGTCAAAACCAAGACCGACTGAAATATGTTCTGAAAACAATACGACAGTCGAAGCTTGTTGTGGTTACGAAGTCACCTAGCAACAGCGGATATGACGTCATGCCTGCCCAGAAGCTACTTGTCATTCACAACAGTTCAGCGACTTACCAAGTTCTGATTCCGAATAACAGCAAATAACTAATAATACAAAGTTATCCATACCACAAACCCACTCCAGATATGTAGATTGATTGATCTGTAGAGGTTTAGAAGGTCATTTCGAAGAATTCTGCGAGAAATGTCTGCCGAAAGTGCATTCCGATCCGGAGCTCCCTTCGCCGTCTTCCATAGCAAGAATCGTAGGCAAACAGATTCGCATTATCCAACCGCTGACCTTACTTACCTACAACACAGACACTAAAAGCACAAATATTCAAATAAAAACCTCTATGAAAACTCACCCATGATAAAAGAAAAGAGAATAAAGAATCTTGTCCTTTTAACGGTCAATTGGCGAGACACAAGGAAAGCGACTGCCTCCAAGACCGGACCATAGAGAAGTGACGCACACAAACACGTCCCCTAACTACAGCAGTTAGCGTACGAATCCCGCTCACTAATGCAGTGCAGTGGTCAGACCATTTATTTAGAATAGGCGTAGAAAATGTGTCCTAACGTGTAATTCGACACTAAAAGCCTAAAAGAGTCAATATCATAGGGATTTATAGAGATTTTTCCTATCAGGACTCCCCCACAACAAACGAACTATATAACTATGCTTGGCCTATACTAATTCATAGTTACGATGACGAGTTTGGGGGTGTTCAGCCTGTGGACCTTCCTACTGCGGCAGATGTGTGGATGCTGTCATGCGACACTAGGCATGATGGTCTGTCCAGAATTGGAAGAAGATAATTCTTTATCCAATACCTGAAAATGTATCTATTCATTTCAGTGTGGTTGTCCTTTCATACTTTTTGATTGAAAAATGGGACTGAGCCTCGAGAGGCAGGGGGTAAGAAGTGTTGGTGTTGTGGGTAGTGGCCCCCCCCCCCCCCCCCCCCCCCCCCCTTACTTCACCCTAGGTCTAGTGAACATCTGTTCACGAAAGGAGCGTCCATTGTGGTGTCAGCCTCTTGACCTAGCAAAACCTCTCTTACCTCAAGACCATTGTGCGTGGCGAAGAGTCACAGCCTCCCCGAGGTAGCCCTGGTAACTGGGGGTGCGAATCCCCAGGCAAAACACAATGGATCTAGAGGAGCAAACCTCGATAATAAACCCGGTGCACCACACCGTACTGCCCCCTGTGGGAGGGAAGGAGCCAGAGGTGTGCTGAACAGTCCTAGGAATGGAAACAAGTATGCTAACCCCCCCCCCCTCCTGAATACCGGAAACTATCGTGAAGGCACAGGGACTCAGGACGTGACGATCCAGTTGCCCCAACTACTCATGCTTAGGCCATGCTTAGAGCCATGAAGAGCTCAGCGAAACCTGCAGGCAATCTGGTGGCGGGGAATGAGCACACTGTGAGCCCCACCTTAGCTACGTGTTAAAGGGAAAGGCAGAAACACAACCCATATTTCCTTTAGAACTGGTACAGGGCATTTCTAGCTGCTGCCCGGGGAGGTAGGTAACCCACAGACACCCCAGCACCACAATGCCATGAATATGTCAAAATTTAAGATTGAAAAATAAGTCCAGCATCATGGATAAGGCCCTTTTCACTGCTTCCTGCATAAGTTAGTAAAATGCGCTGGCCTTTGCTGCTTGGAATGTTTTTTGTTTTCTGTTCACCTTTTATTGATTGCCATTCTTTAGCATACATATGATGAGCATTAACCCAGGATTCATCCAGATATGCAATATCATAGCTTTACCTCCGTCGCTTACGGATCTGGATCAGGTATTTGCTTCCACTAGCAATCAAAAGTGGCTTTTCACAAATAATATTCCTTCCATATAGAGTTTTTCTGAAAAAGTTGCTCTTACAATTGTCCACAGACTACTTTTTGAAATATCAATACTGCCTTGTGATTTCAATGTTAATTTCAGTTATCTGAGAGTAACAAGTTGATTTGTCTCTGACATTTTTAAGATCTCACGTCTGATGACTACATCAAAGTCGTCAACTTTCCTTTTCCTTCCTTGCTTGATATGAGTGTACTCTGTGTCCTGTCTAATCCAACGGTTAAATGATGCTCTATCCTGATTAAGCACTAATCGTGTTTGTTTCTTTGGGTTATGAATATCACAATATAAATGACCCATCTTAGATTCACTGCGGAAGTGCTGGTACAGTAAAACAGTAACCTTCTGCATAGTTATAAATTTGCATCTCAAATTCATTTTGAAGTTGATATCTATGTCAGCTTTTATAAGCTAGCTATATGACACAATAACTCAACACTAATTTGTGGATGCGTCTTTGACTGAACAAGCTTGACCGACGTCTTATTTTCTTTTTACTTACCAGTCACTAAAAGTGCCACTTTGCATTAGAATATCATGAAATTGTGTAGGTTTTCATGGACCCCCCCCCCCCCCCCCACCCCATTAAACCAGTCAAAGTGTGCATAACTTCCTGAAACTAATGAAAGTAAACCTTCCAAAAGTCTGGCAAGATGGTTTCATGATAAAAATATATATCGTAAAGAATAAAATACTACACATGATATTCTTCTATAGTGAAAAAAACTTGTTACCTAACGTCATGGCTATTCTAAGACTGCATGTAAAAAGTCATTGCAAGGCAAATAGCTTGCATGTGTGTTCAATTATTGTCAAATGAACTATATGTTAATTTGAAGGTTACAATTATTTGGACTTGTTACAATCTAATTTATAAATAGAGGAATTGCATATTAAAAAAATTTATGAAAATCAAAGCAATGTTTCCTTGTTATAAATTTGAATAAAGAAGACACAAATATATATTTCATTCATTTGAAATCAACATAAAACATGCTAATTTTCATAGTTGCATGTGATCCTGTCATTATGTAGTGATAATGGGGTAGTACACTTTACAATTGTTGTTAATTTTTATTTATTGTGGAACATGAAACGCTGAAACAATAAGTCAGCTGCTTGTCCCTTTAAAAAACTATCTTTTCATTGTTGTTTGAACAGTACAGAATTGTTCCTGTACTCTTGCTTTTGATAGTGTAAAGTAACAGTTAATTAGCGACATTGGGTACAGACATTGTGATTGTCTACCAGGCGGCTCTGTGGTAAAAGCTAAGGTTTCATTTATATAGTGAATGGATATTGCTGGCATATAACGTCTTGAAGATCCAGCATGAGAATGGAGGTACAGGTGATAATGACAGCTTTCCAATGGCTGCAGTTTAGTAGAGCTTCTCTGGGAAGTGATGACAATTATAAGGTTGATGTAGTGAAAGCTTTTTATGACCAGGTACATAAAGCAGCAAAACAGAAATACTTGAAAAAAATAATTCAGCTTGAGTGAGCAGAAGATCTTGTACAATACTCAGTGTATAAGTAGGATAACAGACAATTGGACACCATCAGCATGGAAACTTTGATGGTTAAAAAAGAAGAGGATGGATACCATGTGAGAATGTCCAGAGTTTAGTCAAGTCAGTTCTTGACTCATTTATTTTAAAATATTTTCTCTCCTTGAAAGTTTTTGCTGATTTTAACTAAAGATGGCTACTGCTTGTGACCAGTTTGCTACATTATATTTTTCTGGCAGTGTCCATGGTTCAAGACAAACCGTTACAAGGGTGGAAAAGGTAAAATTATGGCTGGCAGGGGATTAGGGTGCAAAGAAAGGCCAGGACTTGGATCAGAGAATGTAAGTCATTAAAAGTTGTAATTCATTGTAGTTCAAGAATTTGTTGGTAGATAATCATTATTTGCAAGACCCCTTATCTGTGTAAGAAAAAAATATCATAAATTTCAGTTGTTTCCTATGTATTTAAGTAGTGGTTCATGGGTTACCCAATAGTTGATATTTCTTTGTAATCACCCAGTCATATTTCATTTTTAAAAGATCCCACTATACAAGACACTAATCTTTCTTTAAAAAAAATGTGGAGACAGCATCATATACCAGCTATACCTCGTATAGAACAGAGTTCTGTACTGTTTTATTTTAAATCACTAGACCCAGCATATGGAGCGACTTGTTCAGACAGACATTTGCCTACCGGGCCAAAGGGTTGATCTGCACCTTGTGGATTTTAAACCAGAATATCCTCTGAAGTAAAGGTGACCGCATCACCCGTCGAGTACAGATCAGTTTATAGAACTATAGATCTAACACCACATACCTGATGCACTCATGGCTTGAGAAGTGTCCTTTTAAAAAACAATATGCAATGCTAATAAGCACAGGTGGTAATGATTTGTTATTGTGCATGATCAGCAGTATCGTGGGTCAGGTCAGGGATATGGCCAAGCCATCAAGGTATTTATCGCTTTGCCTCCCAAGAAATCCACAACATTAGTAATTTGAACCTATTACCATTTGGCTGGCAGTGATAAGAATGGTCTTTAGCATCTCACACCTGCAGCATTTGCTGCTGGATCAATTTTTGAGTCAAGTCAAAAAGTGCTAAAATATTGTTAATTGTTTTTTCCCCAATTATAATCAGAGCACCAAAGTCCAGGATGCTATGATTCTAAGCAGCTTCAGACCATCCACTGCAGGCCCCCAGTCTGACAGGCTTTCAGCTATGAAATCTGCATTTTATGTAAGTATTTTTTGCCTGTGGTTTGAAAGCAGGCATGATAAAGTGGGAGTCACTTCTAATAAATATAGCCGTATTAAAATTTTACACTTTGTTTTTAAGCTGAGAAGCTCAAGAAATTAAGTAGCTATTTTATAACTAACTTGGCTTAGACAGATATATTTAGTAAAACACACACATACAGACTTAACCCAACAGAGATTAGAAATTAGATATGATTGTTGAATTATACCTATAGAACTGCAAGACTTTAAGTTTGTCTGAAATGGGAAAAATATTAAGACAGCAGATGAGGTGGCATCTTCACATCATAGACTCGTTTTGAGTTGCTTCTGGCTTGTTTTGTTCTTAAACTAAAAACTAAACCAACTGCATTTGAGGCAGATCTGTCCAGAGGGGTAGTCTCCTTCAGGCTGCCCCAGTTATTTGTGAGTCGATGACCTTTATTTACAACCAATGTCTTGTCAAAGGCTACTTCCCATCTGCATTTAAGATTGCCAAAGTGTATCCGCATCTAAAATCTGGTTCCTTAGACAGTAGTATTCCAGGTAACTATAGACCAATCTCCCTGTTATCATCACTATCGAAACCACTAGAGAAACATATTCATAATGTAACTTTTCAGCACTTAGATCACAACAAACTTATAGTGGATAACCAATCAGGTTTTCGACCAAACTATTCTTGCCATACTGCTTTAACTAACATGATTGAAAAATGGCACCAGAATGTTAATGATGAGAAAATATGTGGCGGGGTGTTTATAGACTTTAAGAAAGCTTTTGATATGATAGACCATAACATTCTTATAAGAAAATTAGAAACAATGAAATTTAACCCTAGACTATTACAGTTAATAAAATCCTTTTTGTTAAATAGAAAACAAATAATCTGTTACAATAAATCACTATCGCAAGCTACTGAATTAAATACTGGGGTACCTCAAGGCTCGATTCTCGGTCCTCTGTTATTCAATATCTACATAAATGACCTTCCTTTATGTCTGTCGTCGTCCTGCGATTTATTCGCAGGCGATTGTACCATCTATGCAAATGCTCAAACATGTAATTTACAAGAATTAAATAATGTAGTCCAATGGAGCAGTGCAAACCGTATGCAAATAAACATTAATAAAACCAAATCTATGCTAATAACGACCAGGCAAAAACTATACAGTTTAAATTCTCAGAGAACGCTTCAACTCTACATTGGGGGCACTCAAGTAGAAAATGTAACTGAGCACAAGACACTGGGGTTGGTAATTGATGCAAATCTAACATTCAACTCACACGTACAAGCACTTGTGAAGCAAACAGCTAAAAAGGTTTACCAGCTTGCAAATTAAAAACTTTCTTGATGAACACACAAGAAAGATATTCTATATTTCTCACATCCAGACACATGTAGACTATTGCTCTACAATATGGGATGGCTGTTCCAGCTCTGTTATCAAGCGACTCACATCACTGCAAAAGCGCGCCATTCGCTTAATTAGTAACAATCATGGAACACTGAGCTCCGAAACATATAAAGGTCTTAGACTACTACCGCTTCGTGAACGTCTACTTTTTAATAAGGCAAAATATACTTACAAAATATTATCTCAAAAGGCTCCATGTTACTTATGGCCATTGTTCAAATATAATGAACGGCATAGTAAGCGTCTAAACATATTACACATCCCTAAACCTAGGATAGACCTTTATAAAACAAGTCTGTCATATTCCGCAGCTCAATTGTGGAACTATCTACCACAGCAAATCAAAAGTACCACTAGTCCATATACATACAATCGGAAACTGTTCGAATATTATCTGAGCACTGATTATATGCCCCCATAGAAGATAAAACATATGTGAAAAATAGCGCACATTTTTCTTAGATTTGCTACAACTGATACGTTTAACTGTAGTTAGAAATGTGCACATTCCAGTGCTTGTATTGATTATTTTGATGCTATTGCTAACTTTTAATATTACTTGATGTGTGAATGAAATGATGTAAGAATGGAGGGAGACCTCGAAGGGCAGAATATTAGACGGGCCTGCGTGCCCAATTCTTAACCCTTTAAAAATAAAGTTTGTTCGTTCGTTCGTTCGTTCGTACAGTCATGTATGACATCTCTTCTGCGGAACCAGGACAGAAAATCCACTTACAGTTCATGAAGATGTGATGCATTATACTCACTGATGCCATTGCCGCCACATTTGGTTACTTTTTTATCACAGATAGAAGTGGTAATGGCTCATTCTAATTTAGACCTAATCTTCAAAGTTTACCATCTGGTTGGAAAAATTTTTTTTTTTTAAAACTATTTTTTCCCCCTTGTTTTGCTTCAGGTCAAGTTGCTACTTATATAGTGTGTTTCACCGAATCTTTTTTCAAGATTTTAAAAATGTAATTTTGAAGATGTAGTGTCATCTATTCCTGTACTCTGTAATATGGTCTTTGGGCTCTGGTGCTTGCTGCATCTTTGCCTATATTCTGTTCTATGGTCTTTGAGATTTCTTGCAAAGCTAATTTATTCCTGTATTCACTTGTGTGGTCATATAGATCTGTTGCATGTTTAATTTATTCCTGTATTCACTTGTGTGGTCATATAGATCTGTTGCATGTTTAATTTATTCCTGTATTCACTTGTGTGGTCATATAGATCTGTTGCATGTTTAATTTATTCCTGTATTCACTTGTGTGGTCATATAGATCTGTTGCATGTTTAATTTATTCCTAGATTCACTTGTGTGGTCATATAGATCTGTTGCATGTTTAATTTATTCCTGTATTCACTTGTGTGCTCATATAGATCTGTTGCATGTTTAATTTATTCCTAGATTCACTTGTGTGGTCATATAGATCTGTTGCATGTTTAATTTATTCCTGTATTCACTTGTGTGGTCATATAGATCTGTTGCATGTTTAATTTATTCCTAGATTCACTTGTGTGGTCATATAGATCTGTTGCATGTTTAATTTATTCCTAGATTCATTTATGTAGTCTATGAGATTTGTTGCATGTGTAATTTATTTCTGTAATTCATTTGTGTGATCTTTGAGACCTATTGCCTATCTAATGTATTTCTATGTTCACTTGCACAGTCTCTTAGTCCATTGCGTGTCTAATTTATTCCTGTATTCTGTTGTGTGATCTTTGAGACCTGTTGCCCATCTAATTTTTTCCTATGTTCAGTTGCACAGCCTCATAGTCCGTTGCATGTCCAATTTATTCCTGTATTCACTTGTGTAGTTTAATAGATCTGTAGCATGTCTAATTTATTCCTATATTCATTGTGTGGTCTTTTAGATCTGTGGCATAATCTAATTTATGCAAAATGAAGCAATGTGCATTATTCTAGGGTGCACTGGAGACTTTCCCTACAATAAACCTCAGAATCAAGATCTGGAGGGCTCGTGCATACCTCAAGATAAGCTCAGGTCTGAAGCACCTTTGTACCACATGCTTTTCAAGAAAAATGGCAATAGGCTTAAAAGGGGCAAATCATGGCTGGGTAGGGCTGAGGATGACATCATGCAGGTTTGCAGCCTTACAGACATCCATCCAGGTGAGGAATGGATACCAGCGTCTAAAGCGCCCAATCTCACATTTTCCTGTGTCGTGACACTCGATAGGAATTGTCGGGAGCAGAATCAGGCTGATGTCAGTGTCAAGGTATGCACTTTTATCAGTGACAAATCAGATGAGACAGATCTGATGATCTTCACAGATGGGTCTGTTATACGAGGACATAAGAGTGCATGGGCATTTACAGCTCGCTCTTCAGGCAGAACAGTTCAGGAAGCCAGCGGTGCCTTCTCCATGACCACCAGCATCATGACGATGGAGCGGATGGCGGTGACAAGGGCTTTCGTGTGGCTGGGAGCACAGGACTATTTCCGCATGTCTGTGCTGAGTGATTCTTTGAGCATGGTCCGGCGGGTGGAGGCAGGCTGGTTACGCAGACAGTGGTTTGAGTCGTCGCAAAATTCTCCTGTGTGTGCAGTTACCTTCATATTCCTCCCAGGGCATGCAGGCGTTGTTGGTAATGAGAGAGCTGAGAGACTGGCAGGTGCTGCATTAATTGAAGATGGCCGGCCCATGAATCATACAGACATTGTCATTGCCCTTAGAGAGATAGGACGTTCTGAGGATTTTGAAAGCAACATGTCAACATCACTGCTAAGAATACGCGAATTGGGAGTAAAGATCAACACAGCCAAGCATGAGAAGCACACCTGATGCACACAAAATCTTATTAACCAACAGAGGACTGGTACTATTAACTGCACGACGCTGATGAATATGTTGAGAGGGGAATCTGAGCGCCTATGGATGTATAAAGAGTGCTGTGAAGATAATCTAACTCATAACTCATCTAATTTATTCCTATATTCGTTGTGTGGTCTTTGAGATCTGTGGCATATCTCATTTTTTCCTATATTCACTCGTGAAGTTTTATAGAACTGTAGCATGTCTAATTTATTCCCATATTCATTGTGTGGTCTTTTGAAATCTGTGGCATTTCTTATTCATTCATGTATTCACTTGTGAGGTCTTGTAGATCTGTTGCATAATTCATTCCTATAGTTGTGTGGTCTTTTAGATCTGTGGCATGTCTAATTTATTTCTGTATTCAGTTGTGTGGTCTTTGAGCTCTGTTGTATGTCCTAATTTATTATTCCTATATTCAGTTGTACGGTCTTTGAGATCTGTTGCTTGCCAAGTCTGGTATTGTGTTCTGTAATATGTTCTGTAGTGTCAAGTGCTTGTAAACTCTTATCTGTCTAATCAATTCAGTGGTATATTCTTTGAAATCTATTCTTATATAGTTTTGTGGTCTTTGAGATCTAACATATGTCAAACTTTAGATATATTCTTATGTTTGATCTTGAAATATTATATTTAAAAAAATATTTGCAGATGTACGGAGTATTTTTTATTTTTTTGCTTTTTATATGATTGCAGTCTCAGTTCAGAGGCAGTTTCGTCTCAGCACAAGAGCAAGATAAATCAGCCAGTGAGGAAAACTATGCAGCCGCTGGAGGAGCATCACAGTTAAACACAGCAATCATGCAGCCTCAGATGATCCAACCTTCTGGAATAGGTGGTGCATCTCGCATGGGCCTGGGAAGTGATGGCCCACCAAAGAAGAAAAAGAAGAGCCGTTGGGACTGATTATTTAAAAAACAACAATATTATGAGCTACAGATTTGATTAACAGCAAAGACCGAAATCTGAGTCAGATTTTAAAATTCATTTATGAAATCTGTTTTGTAGTTTTCTTCCGCCTAGTGCATTATGCTGACGTTTGTGTGTACAGTGACTGAATTAGAAACAACATATTATTTCTGTTCAGTTACTTGTGATGTAAATAATGACATTTGTCATTATTATTATCAATATACATTTCTAAAAGTGACATGAACATTTTATTTTATCAGATTATTTTCTTCTTTCCTCTACTCCTGGAATGCCTAGCTGCATTAGGGCAACGAAGAGATTGGGCCCTTCTGCTTGTTTTGTATAAAGTAGTGTCTGATATTTCTGCAGTCTATCTTATGCATGGTCGACCTCTGGCTCTGTTGCTACTGTATCTGTATAACTTTGCTCTCTGTGGTGCCCTGTCTGATGCCAGTCTTGTTACATGGCAAGACCATTTGATTTATTGTCTACCTATAAAGTTCAGTATTGGTTCTGTGCCGACTCTCCTCCTGATGTTATTGTTCCTAAGTCAAACTTTCCTTGTTACACCTAGCATAGTGTGTAAATATTTCATTTCTGTCGGACTATTTACTATTTTCTTTCTGTTTTCTGAATATATTGTCCGTGTTTGACATTGATAGCATAGTTTTGGTAAAAATATTCTTTTGAAAGTGTTCTTTTAGTGTTTATATTCACATGCTTGCATTTCAAAATTGGTACCATTTGGTCTGAAACATGACTGGCTTTATTGTTTCTTTTTTTTTTTTTTTTTTAATTCTTTTAATTATTATTCTTCTGTCTTCTGAAAAAATTATCCACAGATATGTAAAATCCTTTGTGTTGATCAGTTTTGATGTTGATGGTTCTTCCTTTTCTGGTGAATGTCATCACTTCCGTTTTGTCTACATTGATCTTCATATCATAGTTGTTGTATTCTATTAATGTGTTCTTGTAGTTGTACTGTTGTTGATGCCATGATTGCCTTGTCACTAACGCAAAGCAGTTCATTTAGTAATTCTCAGATATTGTCCTTTTCACCTGTGTTAGCTAATTTGCAAATAAGTTGAGTTGAGTTAAGAATTGACATCACATCACTAAGGCATTCCCATGCTTGCTCTGTCCTCATCTTCAGCAGCCAGCTCAGAGTTCCAATATCGATGGTACCGGTCACAATCTGATTAATAGTCCATCTTGCCTTTCCTCTGAGTGTAATGAGACGGCCAGACCCCCTGGTTACACCCAGGTGCCTCATTCTCTCCAGGCCTTAATAATCTTCTTTCTCTACTGATTCCGTTGCTTTTCCCAAAGGGCCTTGACCACATCTGCCTTATCATGTATCAATTCACCACTCACTGGTGTGGATCCAGCCAATCTGTCTGCCTGTTCTTTACCCACCACGCTGGCATGGCCTGGAGAAAAGATCTGATTTGCAAATTTGGTTGACTTATGTGATGAACACTAGTGGTGATAGAAAGCACCCCTGTCTCACCTTAGATCTCATGTAGAACTTCTCTGACATTCCTGTATTTGTTGTAACTGCGCATTGACTGTTCACGTAGAAACGTTCGCATAGTTTTATAAGGTATTCGTTTCATGTAGTACGTTTCGTAATTTATTCCTATTAACTCGATCAAAAACTTTCTCTTGGTCTACGAATGCGACCTGCAATTCTTTGTCGAATTCTACTGTCCTTTCCACTAATTGTCTAAGTGTGCATCAGCACAGTAGCCTTTTTTCAAGGATCTTACAAAATATTTTCTCGGTGTGGCTCAATAACGAAACTCCTCTATACTTCTCACAACCTCTCTTCTTCCGGATGGGTACTATTATTGCATTTCTCCAGTCCTCTGGTGTCTCTTGTCTTGTCCAGACTAGGTTGAACAATCTGTGCATCCATTTTATGCCTACCTCTTCTGTTGCTTTGACTAGTTCAGCAGGTATACTGTCAGGGCCTGGTGCTTTCTTGGAAGATGCCTCATTTATAGCTTTTCTTATTTCTGCGAGTGTAATGCTTGCTTCAAAGTTGACATTTAGGTAGCTGTTGTTTTCTTGTGTTGTGGATGGATTGTTCCTCTTATCGTAAGGTAAGTAGATCGTGGAAATATTGGCGTAAACTCTCCAAGACTTTTTGTGGTTCTTTTAAAGGTACTCCCATCTTGTCATTTATAATTTGTGTTGGGTCATATTGTTTGTTCCTACCTTTCATAACTTTAATTTGACTGTAAAAGTTTTTCATAGCACTTTTTTGGTCAGCATTCAACATTTCGCTGTTTTTGCCAGGATGAATCTTTGGCATTTCTAACAACATCTCTGGCTAGATCGTCTTGATTTTTACTTTTCGCCCATTACTGGTATCTGCATTTCTTCTCCTTCTCTGCTTTTTTTATTTCCTCATTCCACTAGGTTGTTATTAATGGTTTTATGCTTCTCATCTTTACCATTCTACATTTTTCTCTTGTTGCTTCTAAAATTTCTCTCTTAAACATTTCCCATTCCTTCTCTACTGATTTGGTTTCTTCACTTAACCTGGCATATCTTCTGCAATTTTTTGGTGTGCTTCTTGTGTGTTAGCATTATTTGAGTTATTAATTTTTCATGTTTCTTTTGTGGTTGAATGTAGTCCTCTAGTATTTCTCCCACTTTCATCCTCAAAGTCAGCATGACCGCCTTATGGTCAGTGTATGTACATAGGTTTGGAATTGCTCTTGCGTCTGTGACCGTTCTTTTCATGTTTCTCTTAGTTGGTATATAATCTGTTTGACTTTGACAGTTCAGATCGTTCCATTTATACCATGTATATATGTGAGACGGCCGGTGTTGGAAACAAATGTTAGCTGAAGGAGCCTGCAGCCTTATTCGTTTTTAATGACTGTTATCTCCTAATTACCGATGCATTCTTCTGCTCCCTCCCAGTGTCCTATTCTCGCATTAAAATCACCTGTGATGATATTTTTTTTCTTGATCTTGTTTATTTTGTCATTTGGTGTGTTGAAAAGTTTTTTGCTTTTTTCATTATTTTTAATTGCCTTACAGGGGGCATATAATTGAACATATGTTGTATTTACTCTGTTGTCACTAGTCGCAGTTGTTATATGATTCTTTCTGAGATGTATTCAGTGTTTATAATTCTCTTAGCTTACCTGGGGTCCAATATGAATCCAACCAAGTGTTTTGCACTTGTGCACTTGTACTGATTAAACGTACACAACACGAAGATGCATTTTTTACAACCTATTCCTTGAGTTCTTGTGTCTGTTAGTCCTAATATTTCTATTTTGCTTACTCTCATTTCTTCTATGATGGATTCTACTTTGTTCTTAGCCCGCATTTATGGATGGTGCAAATTTGTTTGATATTCTTGACTACTGTCCCTTTTATTCCAGTTCGTTTGAGATCTCTTAATTTTTCTATGAGCACTAAGTAAGCCACTGTTGGTTTGCTGGACCAATCACAGTGTTTTCAAACTTGCTAGAAGTTACCACTTGTGCTAGACTATCACATTCAGACTATGAGATATCAAATTATACCCTCTAAATTTTACTATAATGGCATTAGTGATGAAAAGCACATGCGTGAGTTAGCTGAAATAACTAAGGGCAGAGCAATATCTTGTGGTGTGTAAACCACAGGCAGGTTGGTCATTTATTTGCAGACCATGTTTACAGAAGACAGTGGAAGCACATGGATGAACATGTGTCATTTGAAGACATTCAACTTAAAGCATTATATTCCATTCACAGTATTCTGCCCCTGATGCTCATGCAGTGCTTTAAGGCAATAAATCAGAATGTTTAGTGCTCGAGTTATCATGATTTTTCCACTGTATCTGTTTCTGAGATTGGTGTTTTATGTTAGAAGTATTAAAAATAAGATTCCCAGTCAAACCAGAGGTCAGACATATGTTCTGGAAAAGTGGCAGTTTTTGAAACTTTAGTATGGACTGGGAATGACACATTTAAAAACACTTATGAAACTTTTGTTTTGTTTTTCTTTTCTTTTATTATCTTATTACTTTCTCTTGGTGTGAGTTTTTGTGTGTGAATTAAATGTGCAGGACATACCTGCATTAACTTGGTGAAAAACATCAAGTTTGCTGTCTCATCTGGCCCCTGGAGTTTGCAAAAATCTTTCATGGCAGTTCTGGGTCCACCCAGCCTTGAGTGTAAGAAATAGAACTATTGCACCGGACAGCCAAATATGGCACATGCGTGTCAGTGCGGTTATTTTTCTCAACCATGGCCACGTTGACATCGGAAAACGTGATGTCACTGAGATTTCCCAGATCTGTTTTTGGCGCTCAGTGTTCTAACACCTCTCCACCACCATGGCTTCCTTCTCTTCTCTCACCCCTTCTCTTTCTTTTGATCTTTCGCTCTTCTACCCCTCTTCTCCTCTCTCCATCCTTTCCTTTCTGTTGTCTTATTTTCCCTCCAGCCCCCTTTTCTGTCTCCTCTCCATTCTCACTTCTTTTCTGTATATTTTCTGACTCTCTTATTTTTCTCTCCCCCCCCCCCCCCCCCCTCCCTCTCTTTGTCATCCCCCCCCCACCCCCGACCCCCGTTTATTATATTTGCTATAACTGTGTTTTCCCAGTGTTTGTACAGTACACAAGAAATTATGTCTGAGGGATTGGACAGGGTTTTAGCATGAGGCTGGTGGATTTTTCCCCCTTCAAAGTTTTGTTAAATTAATTGGCAGTTCTGGCATACTTTAACTCTCTGTCTGTCTTCCTACCTGCCCCTCTATCTATTTGTTAGTGCCTTCCTCTCCAGTCTCTCTCTCTTGCTATATGTCTGTATACTTCTCTCCCATTCTCATGCTCTGCTTTTTTCCTTTCTTTGGTTCTCTTCCTGTCTCCCTGTCTTTCGCCATTCCTCCCTCTATTTGTCATCTTTTTTCCTCCTTCCCTCTGTATCTTCTTCCCTCTCTGCTCCTATGTCCATCTCTACCTGCCTGTCCCTCTTTCCCCTCTC